TTTGAAGATTTAAAACAAATTAAGAATAAATTGATAATTTTAACATAATAAATAAGTTATTAACGTGATGAGGTGGCATACTTATGTGGATTAAATTTTTTTTTTTTTGGTACATAAGAGTTGATAAAACAAAGCAGAAAAACTAAGACCGAGGGAACAACGTCCCTACGGCATCCCTATTAAGAATGCTGGCAATTCCGACCGGAGGCTCTGGAAACATAGTGACACCATGAGAGAGGTTTTGGCCAATAGCAGCCATATAATCTGCTGCAAAGTTACCCTCCCTAAAAGTATGCTGCACTTGGTACTCAGAAAACGTTCTTAGAAGATGGAGAATGTCAGAAAATAGGGTCCAAGCTAAGCCTTCCACCCCTTTCTTTGCCTGCAGCATGTGAACCACTAGAAGCGAATCCATTTCCAGGATCAAATGGGTGATTTCGAGATCAGATGCCATCCGCAAACCCTCTCTGCACCCCCAGAGCTCTGCCATAAAACTGGATTGATGCCCAATGCTCAAAGAGAAACCATGGACCCAACGACCTTCATGATCACGAATCAATCCCCCAGCACTCGCTTTCGTTGTAGCATGATTCATGGCTCCATCTGTATTTAGCTTAAAGAAAGGAAGATCGGGAGGGTACCATCGTACCCAACGAGAGACTCGAGGACAGCTTGAAATCTGTGTAGCCAGTGCTAATCTGGTGTTCATAGCTAAGGAAGTCGCCTGTTGAAGCACAATTTGGGGTGGAAGCCGCTTGTCTTCAAAGATCAAAGCATTTCTACTCTTCCAAATGTACCAGAGGAGGGCTAGGAACAACGTGGACCACAGCTGACGAGACTCTCCAATTGAAGAAGTGGAAGTTGCATTTTGGTAAAGCCAGCCATCTAAGTCCAAGTTAAAGAAGTTTGCTGGCAAAGGTGTAGATTCCCATACCAGCCGGGAATAATAGCAATCTCTTAGTAGATGCAATGGAGTCTCCTGATCTTGTTCGCATCTTGGACACATGGGTGAAGATGCAAAATGCCGTTCGAATCTAAGGGAATTTGTGAATAATCTTCCTCTCCACAAAAGCCACATAAACATTTTTATCTTCTCAACACAATGCAATTTCCAAATCCAACTCCAATTCCGTGAGTGGGTATGGATATTAATGGACTGATTTTGCAACAAGTGGAAGGCAGTTTTTACTGAAAAAACTCCAGTATGTGAGCCCGCCCAGTACATTCCATCCTCTTGATGTCCGAAAGATGGTAATGGCAGAGCCGAGATTTGTTCAACCACCAACTCTGGGAGAAGTTGCTGCAGTACCTGAAAATCCCAAGTCCTATCTTGCTTAATTACATGAGAAACAGGAATATCAATCTGGTCTTCGAGCACTGGAAGTAAAGCAGCATCCAACAAAGGCCGGTCGCTGACCCAAGCATCCTGCCAGAATCTGATCTTTTCCCCAGTGCCAATTCTCCACCGAAGGCCTAGCCGTAAGACATCTCTACACCGTAAAATACTCTTCCACGTAACAGAGGAAGTTGAGGTGATGTTGCAGGACATAAAACTTCCACGCTGAAGGTATTTTTGAATGAAAGCCCTGCACCATGGCTTCTCTGGGTTAGATAGCAATTGCCAACCGAGCTTTGCTATTAAAGCCCGATTATTATCCTTAGCCGAACGTATCCCAAGACCCCCTTGAGTTCTGGGTAAGCAACAGAGTGCCAATTAACAAGATGGGGTCTATTTGCCACATCGGACCCCCAAAGAAAGTTCCTATTCAATCGATCAATAGCTGCACAAACATAATCTGGAAGAAGCATTGACTGCATTGTGTATGTAGGTATTGCAGAAGTAACTGATTGAACCAGAACCCTTCTCCCTGCCATGCTCAACATTTTCTGTTTCCAGCTGGATAGCTTTACTTGGATTTTCTCGAGTAAGTGCTTATAAGTATCTTTTGTTTGCCTTCCATGTAAAATGCGAACTCCCAAGTACATTCCCAGATCACTTGTTAAAGGAATTCCACAACCATTACTGAGAGACGTTGCTACATGCCTTTGTACATTCTGCGAGACATAAAGCTTAGATTTAGCTAAATTAATGTCTAACCCAGATTCCATTGAGAATTCTCTTATACAGTCCATGACCACTTCCACTTGATTTTGAGTTGCTGTACAAAAAAGCATGAGATCATCGGCAAAAAAGAGATGTGAAAGCTCTAATCCTCCTCTAGAGATTTTGAATGGTCGCCATATCCGGGATTGCACACGGCTTTGAATTATGTGAGAGAGCTTCTCCATAACCATAATAAAAAGATAGGGGGATAGAGGGTCACCTTGGCGTAATCCTCGCTGTGGTTGAAAGGGAGGTAACTCTTCCCCATTCCAGAGAACACTTAGTTGCAAAGAGCATACTGAGAACATAATCAATCGGATGAGGGGAGTTGGAAAATTAAAATCTTCCAGAACTAAACGAAGAAAATCCCAATCAACACTATCAAAGGCCTTATGAAGATCAATTTTGAATGCAAGAGCACCCTTTTTACCTCTTGACCTACACATTGAATGGACAGCTTCCTGAGTGAGGAGGATATTATCTGCAGTGCTTCTTCCTGGAAGAAAACTACTTTGAAAAGGCCCAATTAAGTGTTGTAATAAGGGCCTTAATCTGTTCACAATAACCTTGGCAAGCACCTTATAAGCCACATTCAATAAACAAATAAGACGAAATTTTTGAATAACATCAGCATTTTCACCCTTCGGTATGAGAACTATGTAAGCCCGAAGCAACGAAAGTTCAAAGTAGCCATCTAAGAGAGAACGATTGATGAAAGTCAGCAAAGTATCAGAAACTACCTCCCAATGCTTTTGGTAAAAGATAGGCTGAATACCATCGGGACCCGGGCTTTTAAGGGCTTTCATAGAGAAGAGTGCAGATCGAACTTCATCTAGGGACACAGGCAATAAAAGAGCAGCACTCTCCTCATCGGATAGCCTTGGTTGAAAAGCAGAATAATCCAAATGAGAAGACTGAGTAGGCTTCCTCGAGAAAACCTCTACAAAGAAATCTCGAATGTGTTGTTGTAAAATAGAAGGATCTTGTACCCAGCTTCCGTCAATTTTCAAGGCCGAAATTCTATTTCGACTCCTCCGAATTACAGTGGTTGCATGATAGAAGCTAGTGTTTCTGTCACCTGAAGCAATCCATTCCACACGTGACTTTTGACACCAAAACAACTCTTCCGAATGAAGAACACGATGATACTCTGTTAATAACTCATACTCCAGATTCTGCAAGAATCTAGAAGAAGGATAATGAATAGAATTCTGGATACCCACCAGACGGCCCTTTAAATGCCTTTTCCTGCGAAAGAGATCACCAAACACCTCCTTGTTCCATTTCAAACATTTCTTTTGCACAGAATTTATGGCATTTACAATTGAGGATCCATGTGCAGCCCAAGCATTTATAAAAACCTGACCAAAATCATCATGGGTTAACCAAGCAGCTTCAAAACGTAAGGGTTTAGATGCCTTACATAATAAGGGGGGAGAATCCAAGCAAAGTAGGACTGGATGATGGTCGCTGCATAGCCGTGGGAGATTAATCACCTTAGCATCCGCAAAAGATTCAAGGGCTAAAAGGTTGAAAAGTGCTCTATCCAACCTTTCCCGCAATAGTACTCTACCGTGTTGTTTACGAACCCAAGTGAACCTGCAACCCAGTGAATCAGTGGAGTGTAAGCCACAACTTGAAACTCTGTCTCGAAAGCGTTGGGTATGAGCAAAGCTCCTTATTGCACAAGGAGAAGCTTCGTCAACTGATAGAATATCATTGAAGTCACCCATCACTATCCAATTTTCGGTAATTTGTGAGGCGATCTCCCTTAACTGACACCAGAATATGTCTTTTTGAGAAACATGAGGCTGAACATAGACAAAAGTAAGCAAACAAGTTACTTGCTGTTGAGAGACAACACAATGAATAAGTTGGGAAGAACTATGTAAAACATCCAAGCACACTGTAGATGAGCGCCAGAATAACCAAATACCACCAGCCATGCCTTGTGAGAAAACCTGATGGTCCCTATCAAAACCAAAACGCCTCATGAAATTTAGAGCAGTTGTCGATGAATCCGCTTTAGTCTCAAGAAAACAAATTATATCAGGACGCTGCATCTTAATGAGCTCTTTACATTCTCTTCGAAAAGGGCCATTCTTGACCCCTCTGCTATTCCAAGTGACAACTTTCATTGGGAAAAGGTTGAGGATGGGACGGCCGTGGTTGGAGAAACAGCCAGAATGTGCACTTGACCGACATGCTGCGGCGAGAGAGAGGACTCCAATGGAGAAGTGATCTGTTGAGGATGTGTTGCATCTATTTCAGAAAGAGTCGGAACAGGGACTTCAGCTTGGGCACTAGGTTGCGGAGGGGCTGAGGAACATGGCATAAGTGGTGAAGACATGGATGGATGAGCGACCAAGGAGACAGAATCCCCTGACGAGCTTTGTACGATTGATTGGATTGAAGGCAGCATCTGTGTCGTGTGAGGTAGATGTTTCTTGAGTGCAGGAGGCAATTCATAAGGTTTGGGAGTGGAGATTTTGGTGTCCTTAGGTATTGGGCCTAAAGTCTTACCCTTCCTCTTGGAAGGTTTGGCGTTGGGCTTGACAAACATCGTTGACGGAGCTGGAGGAGGAGTTGGTCCCACTGTCTGATGGGAACCATTTTGGGTTTGTGTAGTTTTACGTGTCTCAAGAATAGGGGTGGGAGCTGCGTCCATGGGCGCCACGACCTCATTTACTTTCGAAGATTCTCCTGCCAAAACATGCGGACCATTAAGGGCATGTAAAAGATCCGTTTCCTTATCCATCACCTCTGCAAATACCTCAAACCGGTTTTGCTGCGAATTAGAATCCCCATAACGCCTATCACGTTTAGTAACTGCCACAGTTTTTGCCGAGATTCCTGCTTCCGTAACGGCTGGGACCTCCGGTGATCGAATGTGGCTTTTGTTAGTAGCCTGAGAATGGCTGAAATTAGCCTGACTTCGTCGCCGTGACTTACGCTGCTGCACCATCCATGGGCCAAAAACCATATTATTCTCCACCATTTCTGGCTTTAAAGCTTGAGTGAGCTCTGTCATGGCTCGAGTGCTTGGGTTTCCCACAATTGTTGACTTCTCAGGATTCTTGTAACGGCAGGAGTCCTCCGTGTGCCCAAACTCACCACAGTGGAAGCAGATCTTATGTAGACTTTCATATTCAACTGGAATGAGAATTTGAGGCAAATCCTCCAAATCTAAGTCCACTGAGGATGGCAATTTTTGACTGAGATCCACCTCAACGCAGACACGAGCAAACTTCTCTCTGGTCCCTAACAGAGTGACGCTGTCCACCTTAATTGGCTTGCCGAGTTTACTAGCAAGATATAGCACAATGGCCTCCTGATAGCACATACTGGGCACACCATGAAACTTAACCCACACAGCAGTTTTGGGGGCTTTTGCTGTAGCTGGGTGAAAACTTGGCTCCCATGGCTGCACAGCCAAGTAATGATCAAAGAATTTATAAGGACCTCCTGTCAAAACCCGAGAGCAATCTTCTGGTGTAACAAAACGCACTATAAAGTAGCCCATACCCACATCAATGACCTCAAACTCATGCTCCGTTCGCCATTCTTTGAGTAATCTGGAATGGAGAACATGGAAATTGATGGATTTTCCCAAAAGCTTGATTATTACTGCGTTCTTCCATGGGGCACATAGCCGCTGCCAAATAGACTTGGGAATCCTGACTTTAGGGACCTTTGTTTGCGACGGTTCTGCTCCATCATCTATCATCGGAGACTCAGGATTTGCAGCAACTAGCTCTTCATATGTCACCAGAGGCGGAGTGACAGATGAATTACCAGTAATAAGGGTGTCACGAAACGATTTAGGTGGGGGTGTATCTCCGCGGGGTTGGTCGATTGGGTTGGGAGGATCAGGAGGAGTTGCAAGAATATTAGGCGGCGGTGGCGGAGGAGGGGGTGGGATGCTCGGCACAGACAGCGGTGGGTTGAGAGAAACCGAGGAACTCATTCTCGTGGAACTAGTAACTGTTTGTGGATTAAAATTGATACATGTGAAGTGATACGACAAGTTTGGATGGAGGTTAACAGACACGTGAGGGCATGTGACATTTCACCATTAAATTAATGATAAAGTTGTAGCCTTAAGAGGTTGAGGGGCGTAGAGTTATAACTTTATAATTGGAGCAAATCTAAATTCAAACTTATAAAGTTGAGGGGCCATTTTTGCCGAGGAACTCTTAGAAAAAAAAATCTTTGAAACATTGACCGTTGACGGTCTCCACCATAATAATGTTGTCAGTGAATTGCTTAACCAAACACAGTTCGTCACCATTGCTTTATTGTAATTGGGAAAAGTTCAGTTTCGGACATGAACTACCATTCCTCAGAGTCAGCCGGCGCAGGCCACTTGGTGGTGGTACCTTACCCCGGTCGAGGCCACATCAACCCCGTTCTCAACACCTGCAAATTACTGGTTTCAAATTCCGACAACATTCTCATCACCGTCGTTCTCACCGATGAATGGCTGGACCTCCTCAGTTCCGAGCCCAAAACCGATCGAATTCAGTTCATGTCGATTCCAAACGTTGTCCCCTCGGAGAGAGTTAGAGCGGCCGATATCAGCGGCTTCGTGAAAGCTGTCTGGACGAAAATGAAGGATCCGTTCGAGAGGCTCCTTGACGGCCTTCAGCCACCGGCTACTCTTATTATGGCTGATACTTTTCTCTTCTGGGCTGTTTCAATCGGAAATAGCAGGAATATCCCGGTGGTCTCCTTCTGGCCTATGTCCGCCGCCATGTTCTCGGATGTTCAACACCATATTCTCTTCCAGAAAAGCGGCTATTCCCCCGTTCTCATGTCAGGTAACACCCCTTTCGTCCAGTTTCCCTTCCGATATATATTGATTGAACATTTTTGTGTGAGATTTCTGGAATTGTTCTGTAGAAAAAGAATATGCTTCTGCTACATTCAGCGGGGAAGAACAGAAGATTATGTATGAGGGGATCATGCATGCTTTTTCCTGCTTGCCAAAAGCAAATTATCTATTGATCTCATCGACATACGACCTGGAATCCCAAACTGTTGATGTTTTAAGGGCAAAATTTTCCTTCCCAATATTCACGGTAGGCCCTTCCATTCCTTACTCGAAGCTTGAAGATAATTCCTCTTCATCTTCATGTAGCAAGGCAAATGAGCTCAATTACTTGGACTGGCTTGATAAGCAGCCCAAATACTCTGTTTTGTATATATCGTTGGGAAGTTTTCTCTCTGTTTCAAGTGAACAAATGGATGAAATTGCCGCCGGTTTGAAGAACAGCCGTGTCCGGTTCTTGTGGGTGGCGCGTGGGGAAGCAGCTAGGCTGAAGGAGGCTTGCGTTGAAGATGAATTGGGGTTGGTGGTGCCCTGGTGTGACCAACTGAGAGTGTTGTCACATCCTGCCATTGGAGGATTTTTGAGTCATTGCGGCTGGAATTCTGTTCAAGAAGGTATCTTTTCCGGCATCCCTTTCCTTACTTTTCCTATTGTTGCAGATCAGAACCTGAATAGCAAGCTGATTGTGGATGACTGGAAGACTGGATGGAGGATGAAGAAAAGTTGCGCAATGGAAAATTTGGTGACAAGAGAAGAAATTGCTGAACTGGTGCGAGAATTCATGGATTTGCAAAATGATGAGGGGAAGGAAATGAGGAGAAGAGCTAAAGAGCTTAAAGAGTTGTGTTTGCATGCCATTGGTGGAGATGGATCATTGGAAAGAAGCATCAAATCCTTCATCAGCAATATTTCCATTGGATTTCGTTGAAATAATGGTATAAACAAACATGTCTTCAGTGTATGTTTTTGAAATTCTTATTTGTGGTTTTAATTTATGGCGTAGAGATTTTGTAAATTTTAGCTAAATCTTGTTTGGGCAATTCATTCATCTTATTTTGGAATGAAAAATGATTTTTTTAAAGACTTTTTCATATTGAAATACTATTTTGTAGTTTGAACATTAAAATATAAATTATTTTCATATAACCTTATATTTACTTATTTAATGATATATAAAAATTATAAATAAAAATTATACAACAAAACTTATTTCCATATCATTCATTTTCCTTCCCAATTGAATGTTTTTTTTACTTTCTTGGAATCAATTTACTTGTCACACCTTGATTTTACTTGTAATGTTAAGCTTTACTTTTATATGGTATATGAATGAATGAAGGACTTAAAAAAAAAAAAAAAGGAAAAAAGAAAAAAGAATGAAGGACAATTTGAGGGGGGATTAGGTACTTCTATTGGGCAAAGAGAGACCTAGTGGAAGTTTGGAAGGTTATAAGTTCAATTCAACAGAGAAAAATGATATGAATTTTGTTCTTTTTTATTTAAAGATATAAATTTTTTAAATTTTCAAGTCAAATAGTAAACTTGTATCTCTTTTTTAAATAAGGATATGAATTGTTTTTTTTTTTTATATATAAGAATTTATTAGATGATGATGATGACATAATTAACAATAATCTTAATTAAAATATGATAAAGTTTAAAACAAAATTTATACTCTTAAATAAAAAACAAAAAACTAATCACTAAATTTAAGAATTTTAAAAAATTCATATTTTAAAATAAAAAAAGTGATTATGTTCATATTTTTATCCAAACCTTTTCTCCAATTCAATGAAAGCAAAGAGGAGGAAATAGTGGGCCAAATTCTAGCCCAATTTCCGGTAACACGGGCTCCAGCGAGCGCTTAATGTTGGGTCAAGTGGTCAAAATCGGTGTTGGAATCGTCGGAAGAACCATGCAAGGAAAGAAAAGATTGAATTGATAACACCCACTTTATAAAGCGCACTGTTTTATTAATGATTTCTTTTTGTTTGGGAGTTTTGTATTTCCCTTATTCCTAATTGTTAGTAAAAAAATAAAAAATAATAATAATTTCATCAACTATTCAATTAAAATTATGTATATGTATTAGTATTTAAAATAAAATTAAATTTTTTGTTTTTTCAAAGTACTGTAAAATACAAATCAATAAAAAAGAATAAAGTTTTTTAATATGTATTTTTAAGTGTATTAATTATATATTTTTATGAACAATGTGTTTACACCTAAAATAAACCAATGAGAAAAGGCTACGTGTCAAGTTAAAACCCAATTATCAAAAAAAGTTAACAAGTTGGATTTGGGTTGGGTTGAGCTGGGCTGGATTACAATTTAAAGGCCTAGACGAAATTTTAAAGAAGCTGGATTTTAGGTGGCAGAAGATAAAATAACTTTTGGTATTTGAGTTTGATTTAAGTTAGGAAGTTGAGAGTTTTTAGAAGGAAATTATCTCAAGGGTTTTATTGGAGATAAGATTGAGTAAAGCTGTCAACTGCCAAATTACTGCCAGACATGGAACTCCCACTACTCAATCACGGTGGGAAAAGGCTGAGAAACATGGAGGAGGTTTCCTAGCACCGAAGAAGAAAAACAAGAGGAAGAGATCAATTCCAGACGGCCTACCCTATACACACACTACCCAGAGCATGTTTTTCAACTTTCAGATTACTTTTTCTAGATTTCAGCAATAATTTCCATATTAGTTTGCAAGATCTGTTCTTGTTCATAGCTTTAGTTTAGGTTTTTCCATCCTTGTTCATAACTTTCCTCAAAGATTTCAACTTAGGTTAGTTTTTAAGCATTTGGAAGCAATTCGGTCTTCAAAATAAGTTTACTCTGTTGATTTGGTTAGTTCTTCTTTCTTTTATGGATTCAGCTATGTTATTTGTTCATGTAAGTAGATTGAATGCTTTCTGACTTTGTTCTTTTGTTTCTGCACAACAGCCAGACATACAATCTACTTAATTTCAATTTCCAAATTTAATTATATAAGTTTCCAGACTTTAATTATTTCGTAGTTTCTTTTTCAATTTTAGTTATCAAGTAGTTTAACTATTTTTATTTTAAATCTGCAAGTAAGTAAGTTTAATTGTTATGGATTACATAGTAAAAATTGTTGTCTATGATTTTACATTTTTTGTTGTCTGCGAATTTTATTTTTATGGCATGGTGTTTTCTTCTATTGATTTCATGCTAGATTAATTGCCTTAGGATTTTGTGTTAATTTTAGGATTTGTAACTTTTATTACACTTTTGTAATTGTAAAGTTCTTGAAGGTTTTCAAGACAATTAGTAACCCATTTTGCAGAACTCCACTCTTTGTTTTGCAACATCGTTTGGGATGCAATTAATTTTAAAGACGTTCTTTCCAGCCATCCCATTAAAGGTCAACCGTTGAAAAGAAGAAATATCGTCTGAAAAATCATGTTTTCTTGTTTTTAGACAAAGCAAGGGACACGCTTAACATCCGAACTCACGTAATAAACGCCAACGGAGGATTTTTGGAGAAACACAATGTAAAAGTAGATCTTATTTCTAATGTTTAAGTCACTTGAAAACTTGTTATTGAGGAATTGATAAATTTAATGTCAATTTTTATTTTTTATATAAATTAAA